GGCCGAAGCCCACCTTATTCACGGTTAGCCGCGAGATGGCGGCCGTTCCCCTATCCGCGATCTGGGGACGCGCTCGGTAGCATACAGCTCTGCTCTTCCTCCATACATCCGAACAGACAGACGACGTCATCGGCACAGCTTTTCTCCTGCCCATTCAATACATACGCTTTAGGGACCACTTAGTGCGTTCTCTAGTATTTCGTCTACGACAAAATTGAACAGAAACGGCGAAAGAGAGCACCCTTGACGAATGCCGCTGTTGGTGACGAATGGCCTACTTAGTTCGTCATAGCCCCTACACGACCAGAAGTATGCAAGTACAGTGACCTCAGTAATTTCACGTAATTCTAATACATTCCTTTTCGATGAAGGATGCTCATCAGCGCTTCAAGAGCAACTGAGTCGAAGGCTCCTTCCAGGTCGAGGAAAACTGCGATCGTTGGTCGGCGGTGGATGTGACGCAGTTCAAGGACCTGACGCAAAGTAAAAGTTTGATTAATCCACGGCCACGCCTGAATCCGGCTTGCTGTTCACGGATGTTGATCTCTCTTAAAGGCGTCAGACGTCGAAGTATGACCAAGGCTAGCACTTTGGTAGCGATCGGCATCAAACTGATCCCGCGGCGGTTTTCGCATTCGTTGCGAGATCCTTTCTTGCCCATCAGCTCTCACGGTCCTTCTTTAGGCTGTTCGTAAGCTGACGTTGTAGATGCCACCTAACTCTGTTTTGGTCCTGTCAGATCCGGACTTGTCGTTCTTTCTCCATCAAAACTACGGACTCCTGAGATATCCAATGCCTCGGACGGGCTACCGCTTCAGATCCACAAGCAACATTCGTTGCGGAATGCATTGCTGGCCTAATCTTCCCGGTTGCCCTAGCCAAGAAATTGGAATAACCTCATCCGAAGTCTTTGGCTAGAAAACCAGACCTGCAAGACAAAAGGACGGAACTCCGCAGTCCATTGGGGACCGGTGTCCAGTTCATTGGATCATACACCGTTTGGACGGGATCAAACGTTCAAGGTGCCGAATACTCCTTGATGCTCAATTAAGCCAGTGACCACTGCCGCGACCAGGAAGGTGTGTGTTTGGTTCGTACGGCTCTTCTTGGTTGGTTTGGAATCAGGGTTTTTAGCCAACTCCCCTGGGTGAACTGCCAGTAATCCACTAACCCGGTTATAACCTCGGATGTCGACTTTTCGTCTCCTCACTTAATTAATTACCTCTCATAATTTCGGTCTCCAGTCTTAGCATTTCTTGTCCACTTTCGCCCAGAATTTTATTAACTTGAATTAATTATTGCATTGCATGACTGTCGGATACGGTTTGTTTTAATGGTCCAGTTTTTTCTCATTTTCATTGTCTCAGTTCACGCCTGTTGCCTCAACCATAACATTGACTTCACAAAATAGAACCAACTCAATTTTTCTAAATTTTCAAAACATTTTTTCAGCAATGAGTGAGCCGGGACCGAGTGTATTTAAACCGGATCCGCGATACGTTCGGTCATGGAAGTGCCAAGTGTCTGTGGGAGAGTTATACCGATGGATTCTCGCCAAGCTTTCAGACAAAGATATTAAACGCGCTCTGCACAAATATCGTGACCTGATGCCCAGACAATCGGACTGGAATAGAAAATTAACACAAGCGACAAGTGTTCCGGAACTGGGTTTCCGTTATCTCTATCGTTGTGGCCAAATTGATGAGAGTAATCATCGAACTATGCAAAAAATGCTAAAATATATCGATCGCCAAGATGTGTTGCCATATTTTGACACCATATTGTACAACACCAACTGCGCCAACTATTCCCTGGATGAACTGAAAAAAGGTGAACAATAACTCTCTTCTGACACCCTCTCCTATTCAGTACTTCTTGATAGAGTGAACCTCTTCTTGGAACTGTCTTCTTGTCTTACCGAAGATGAGGTACATCCGGATCCCCCGTATGTGATTCGTCAATGCCAACCTGTGGATCCGCAACGGGTAACTAGGTAAGGATACACAAAAGAGATTTGCCGGTTTGGGTATAATCAATACCGACTGGGCTTTCTACTTCTGTTTAACTAGTTACACAAATAGTGATCTTTTAGCCAAACTAAAGGAATCAGTGAAAACCAGTCTTGTTTAGTGTATTGGTTTTTGAGTCGTATTTCTTTTCACCTCCAGCCATAGCATAATTGGTGAAATCTATTTTCGCCTGAAACGCCTACCTGTTGCTAGTACCCAACAATCTGGACTTACCGCGAGTGCACTACTTCCATTTTCCTGTAAGTGGTCCAAAATGTTAGTATGGAATGGGCAGCTGAAGAAAGACTGTGTGGATTGGAGTACTCATCTATCTGTCTGTCCGAATGGATGAAGAATGATTGGAGAAAACTTAGTAGACTAACGAGTTTGGTTTCTTTCTCTCCGTATATTCTTTGAATCTTCAAAATGCAAAACGATGATGCAACTAACCCTGCATGATCAGGAATTTGCTTCACGTACGTAGTCAGTTGCGCGACGAACACTGGTGATGTATTCAAGGTGACGGACGCACATTCAGGCCTTGAACAGTCTACAGAGGACTGAAACATATTTGGAGGTGATGTGATGTTTCACTGAAGGTGAAAAAATCATGCGTCGCGTGTTGTTTTATCAGCTCTGCTTTACTCTGGCGAGACCCTGAATTTGAGATTAAAAGGTATTCATTGACTAAAGGTTTTTGATATTTGGTATTTGCGTAGTTCGGTGCAGGTAGAGCGGTTAAGTAACTTCAAGGCAAACTCTTGTACTGCTTCAGTGGAAAATTCATAATCACCTCGAATTCGAATAAATAAGCCTCGGTGGTTAGGACAGTGCACCTACCTAGCTGTCGTCTACTGCACTGTGCCTTGTTTACTGTTTTCTCTCCACGTAGAGATCAACAGATGACGTGCACGAAAAAATGCACGAAGGGATTAGACGGAGCAGATGTCTCCAGCCTCTCAGGTTAGGGTCAAAAGGTTTAGTGACTGGTTGTTTAGAGTCATTAAAAAGCATGGGAGAGAACTAATAACAGTGGCTTTCCTATTGTTATCTCACATCAACTCAGAATGGTAAAAAAATGTACATTTAGACCGTGTCTTCTGTGTTGATCATGGAGGATCACTTTCCTTTCCCCTTCCCTCAAAACAGGCTCACTCCCTGTCCACCATTCATATTTTTACTTTGTGCACATTGTGAAAGCGATCGGCGAATTTCATTTCACGGCATCTCGCTGTGCAGTGATAATGATAGTGATGCAACACGGATGATTATCTGTCCACTTGTATATTTATGGATTATGGTTAATTTTCGTAACTGGGCTCAGGCTGTGTCCTATAAAGGACCACTTGGGTGTATAAGCAACTGGGTCACCTAGGCGTCGGTGACACGATTCCAACAGATAGCTTTCAGGCCGCTGTAACGATCTTTATATATATATAAACGTCCTTGGAGGGGCAAAGTGAAGTTGACTCCACTTCGAGTGCTGGTATTGCAGTGCATTCTGTAGCTCGCTCCGTACGTTGTATGAGTCAGTTAACGGATCGTCATGCATGGACCGCCAGCACTAGAGATATCCAGGAAGCCGACTTATCCTCCCGCAGGAGTTAGTCGATCAAAAGTAAAGTAAAAAGTAATTTATACCTCAGAGTTGTTAGGCGATGTACAGTTATGCAATATTCATGAATGTTCTCTTCTTATGCGGTAGGTGAACGACAGCCTACAACGTATGCTTGCTTTTTGGTCAATTTCATGAACCCGTCATTTGTTGAAATTAAAGAATGGTACGCCATCGGAGCTGGATGAACGAAAGTACTCGCCTGCGAAGACCTGAACATCAACATTGGCAAAGTTGCTTAAAACATTCATCTATCCCCCGTCAGTTGTTCGTAGTTTTTTGGACCTGTCTCATCGGTATTACTTGAAGAAGAAACGCGGAATTCAACGAAAGGTCTCTGATCATGGTCCGATTCGCCTCGTATGTACTGCTTTAAATCAGTTAACAGGGAGGTTGACATAGCACCGATCATTACAATCGGGAGTGAGTGCATCCACAATAATCGCTACGAATTGCACCAAATTTACACTTCAAGGAGATAAATTCAGTATCGTAACACAGCGTAATGCTGGTGATCGAATTGCTTGGGTTGAAAGTCACATCAGTTGATCTCTTGAGTGGATAAGTGACGAGAATAAGCTCAAACTGGACGATCCTGATGGATGCATGTGCTACTGGCATGACCTGCATAAGAGCAATCACCTTTTAATCTTCAAGTCTGAGTTGGTTCGGGATGCCGTTTTTGTGGAAGAAAACTTTCTGCTGTTAATTTCCCGAAAGAAAGCGGACAATTGAAACGAATATATCCTCCATCTGATTCCAGAAATGCGCTCGGAAATCGTGATTTTGCCACACGATAATCCCGATGTATATAGAATCCACCTCAGTAGATTGTGGTTGCTGCACAGGTTTGGTCCCATAGAAGGGTATTCCACACTGTCCACGAATTGAAGACAATTATCCTTACACGAATGGAAGAGCTTCGAAGTTCAGAAAATCCGAAACGTGATTGGGAGTATGCCTACTTTAGTCATGAATGACAAAAGTCGGTGTGTTTTGTAATCCCTTGGAAAATATCATCAGCTCCCTTGAGTGTGGTTAGTATCGTTTTACACAATCCTCGGTACATTTTCTATGATTTCTGTGTTTAATTTAGGGAATCTCCAATCATAATTCGTTTTTTTCGGTTTATGGTAATAATTGGTATCATCATCATATCAAATTTGATCAATCTGGGTGATTTGGTTAACGAGAAATTGCGGGCAAACTGGGGTTAATAGATTTTGTGCGCCATATCAGCTCATGAGGTTTACAGAAGGCCAACGATGATTAAAAAATAAACAAAATAAATACGATTTCGGTTTCAACATGGGAACAGACAGTTGATATATATCCTTCTATTGGTTTCACATTGTCATCCCCGTGGTTTTGTTATTTCGAAATCACTCCTATGTGCTTCATCTTACTTGAGGTCTAGCGATTAATTTAATTCTATTGTAAAATCTACTCACTAGAAGGCAGACAGACTGCAGGTATAGGTTCTGTTCGGAATGCAATCAAACAACAGGAGCTGAAAGTGATTAGAGGAGGAACAATGTTACCATGTTTAGTGGACACATAAAAGTAGATATTACAATTAATCGGTACAACTGGTACCCATTTAAACAAATATAATGCACATTTCTATTAGATTAAATCTTCTTCATTAAGATACTAATAAAAGGTAACCAAAGCTCCCGTGGTGCGTGTTTATACAGTTTTAAATGCGCTTGACTAAATCCAAATTTTTCTTCATGATTACCAGTATATTTCTTAACCACAGTGTATTACTTGTTTGCTACTCCTCTCACCTCACCCACTAGATCCCGTTCTAAGCGCAAATCAGATACGGCTATTGCACACTGTTCTTCGTTTGCGAAACGCATGCGTTTGAGCCTACCGGATTCTACGTCATCGATTTCTTCGCCAGACTCGAACTTACAAGACACAGAGCGTGCAGCTATTCAGTGCTGTCTGAGAGCACGTTCGGCTATCGTTGCTAGTGCCCTAAGCGGTCCCGTTATTCATACGATTCTGTCTACCTCGTTGATGAGTATGCTTACCGCTCTTCGTGCTCCACTTACCCAGGCTTTGGACTTGAGCTCATTCTCCTCAACCGCACGCGGTTCAGACCCCCTAGCCGGACTACCGAATCTTCTTCCTCCTCCGTCCCGCCTTCTGGCCTCCATGCCACAGCTACTGGCATTGGCAGGTGCCAATCCCATCCCCGGAATATTAAACTTTCAAGTTCCGGGACCTTTGCGACTTTACCAACCACACGCTCAGCGAGGTCGCCAGAATCCACGTTTTGTCGCCCCATTCATACCCCAAAACCAAGCTCATCACCCTCACCAGAATGTAAATGCTGCTGCAGTGATGGCGCACGCAAATCGACCGGGTGTGATGGTTCCGGCGTTCGGGCCAATTCAACCCAATTTTCGTCCTCATCAACCTCCCGCTGGTCTGTTCATCCCCG